CAAGTTTTTGTTCTGACATCTTTTCTCCTAAGGTACTGGATGCATTTTCTATTTCAAGAACCTTCATATGATATTCCTGGATGTTCTCATCATCATTCATCTTTAGATTCTCAAATTTAATAGTGAGAAGATGGAGTCTTGACATCTTCACTTTAGATGTACCTTCATGAGTTGTCCTGAGAATTTCTCAAGCATCCTTAGCTACAGTACAATTATTAATCAACCTAGAAACATTTGTTACCACTCCATTGAATAGAGTATTCAAAACCTTGGAAATCCCAATAGCTAATTTATCATCCTCGTCGGACCAATCTTCTTGTGGATTCACAAACACATTCTTATCCTTGTCCTTCTCAACAGGATGTTCCCATCCTTTCAAAATAGCCTTCCAAACTTTGTTGTCCATGGATTTCAGAAAATCCACAATTCTAACTTTCCACCAGTCATAATTTGAACCATCTAAAAGAGGTGTTCTATTATTGTATCCTCATTCTTTATCCATAGTACCAGAAATTATTCTCCCTGGAGCTCACTCAATAAACATAACAGAATGCATGCTCTGATGCCAATTGAAATTCTGGCACTTACAATACATATATCAAGACAGATGTTAGAACATATGTTTCGGATACAGTAACTTACTAAAATAGGAGATTGTGCCGAAAATAAATTGCAGAAAAATAAACAACACGATCAATTGTTAATCCAATTTGGTGCAATGTCACCTACTCTGGGGCCTATCAAGCCAACAAGGAAATTCACTACGGTAGTATTAGTTCAAAGCTAAACCAACACTAGTTTACAATGTCTCGCCTAATCATTATCTTGTGCAACTTCTACCTATAGACCACTAGATATGATATCTCCCTCTCACTTCCAATCACCATAGTGATACCTACAGTCACTAACCTTGTGACTAGACCAAAAGAACCAAATAGATTATTACACTTCAAATAAATAATACTTAGTTTTTCTTAAAAGCTTCAACTAAGAATAATACTCAACTTTTTGCCTAAAAGCTCATGAGTGAGAATAATAACTTGATAAACTATCAAGTAACAATCAATCAACCTCAATGTATCAAAAGATACATGAACGACATACAAAGCACAAAAACACAAAGACCTTAAAAGACTCCCAAAATCCTAATCCTTATATTGCATCCACGGTTTCTTCAATGTGAATGCTTGATATTTTAGGTTTAGCAAGTCCTTATTTATATACTCTTGTAGAATGGGCTTGGACTCTTCAAATCAAATTCAATCTTCACTTTCTAAATCAGCTGCAAGATCTTCATATAAAAATAGGAACAAATCCTTTTATTGTTTCCTAAAAAGTCTCCAAGATCCTTTTTATTGAAACCAAATCAAATCTGCACTTGTTTCAAATAAATATCCTTGACCTGCACAAAATAATGAGATATATCCAAAAGAATTTCTCAAAAAATAAATCAAATCTGGCAAGAGATAAAACAGCATCGCCTGGTGCATAACAGGCCAAGATGTCAAGCCATCTGGCTCAACATCTGTTTGATAAGCATGACAGCAGAACATGTCATGACAGTTGGTCAAGATGTTATGAAATCTTGTTCAACATCAGTTCAGAACCATGTTTTAGCAAAATTTAGGCCAAATCTAAAACCATGGATTTAACAATGTTGATGTTGTTATTGTATTCTTCAAACAACACTCAGTTAAAGAAGGTTGAAAAAGTTCTCTATGATTGATTGCAAGTGCAGAAAATAATTTTTAGCTTCAAGTTAAACAAAGAAGGAACCTTTAAAAAGATTAAAAATTGGATGCATACAAGATATGCAACAAAATCTCGAATTACAGTGATGATGAGAAATCTGGATTTGTTAAATATTTTGTGTAAATAATGTAAATCTTTAAAAAGAAAAGATGATTGTCACTCTGAACCACGAAACCAGATTAGTCGATTCACTATGTGGATCAGAACTGGTTGGTTAAACCCAAAAAAAAAAGATTTACCGCGATTGGTTAAACATATTTTACCTCGGCGGTTTTTGTCAAAACCGAGGGAATAATTTTAACGTGATTTTTGAGGATATTGTTCACCGTCCTTAAATAATTTTTTATTGTCTATTTCATGACTATCAACGCTCAAGACACTACCATTAGTGATCCACGTGAAACATAAAAACTTCCATTATAAAAACATTTTGAATATCAAAAAGAGCATTTTAAATACCATTGTAAATCATCATGAAGCGCTTGAAACTATCTACATCCACCACTTTAAGGTTTTCCATGAAAAGATCTCTATGATGGATTGCAAGAGAAGAAAACTATTTAGGTTTAAAAGGTTTTTTCCTTATATATTTATTTGGATAAAGTGTAAGCTTTTCATGATGCCTTACGTTACCTCACTTCTGTAGTCGACGTTAAATGTATTTCGCGTCTGAGGTGAAACGTGTTATTTATAGTAGTGTAGAATCAATCGTCATAGCAGTAGCTCTTTTTCAAGTCGAATGATTTTGGTCAAGAAGAAAGATAATGCATGGAAAATGTGCATAGACTATTGCGCTCTCAACAAGGTAATTATGTCGGACAAGTTTCTCATTCCCATCGTAGATGAGATATTACATGATTTACATGAGTCTTATTACTTTACAAAACTTGATTTTAAGTTTGGATATCATTAAGTGCGTGTTAATCTTGTACATAAAATAGCCTTTTATATGCATGAGACAATATGAATTCCTTATGATGTCATTTGGATTGATGAACGCCCCATCAACTAGGGATGTATATGAGTTGGATAAACCCAATAAAATCCACCTAAACCGACCCAAAAAAATTAGTTGGGTCAAATACGGTTTTCAAAAATGAACTCATTCAAAATAATTGGGTTATGAATAAACCCACACCCAACCCACAAAATTCATAAGTTATTGAGTGACTATTTTTTTTACCTTTTTTTGTAATTTGATAAGTGATGTTTTTAATCTTGGTTGCTTCAATTTCAACCTTTTAAATATCTTTTATTTTATAAATAATAATTTTAATTTATTTAAGATGTCACACTTTGATTATTTTGATGGTAATTCTTGTAAGTGGTAAGTATTTTATGCAATTCTAAAAATTAATGTAATGTAACTTTGATTTTTACAAATATGTTTATAATGAATTTTATTGTGCATTTGTACATTTGATATTTAAAAAATTAGCGGTAATATGTTAAACTATTTATTAAGAAAAAATGTGATACATTATTAATATAAGAAAGAAAAAAATTAGGTAACTCATTACCCAATCAAATCCAACCTCCAAATTTATGGGTTTACCCAAACCAATCCATAATCATTATAAAAAGGAATTGGATCCATCTTAATTGAATGAAGCCAAATGCATTTTTCAGCAAAGCATTTCGGGTTAATAACTTCGCCAAATCATCTTAGAAAAAGGAATTAATTGCAGAAGCCTTAGAAATCCAACACTGTTGAAGCACCCTTATACGACAAGGTTTGTGGCTATGATTTTTGCTAAAGAAGTGATTCGTTTACATGGATTGCCATATGCAATTGTGAGTGACAGAGACCTAGTATGGAAAGAATTATTTCATTTACAGGGTACTAAATAGAAGATGGGTTCTGCTTACCATCCAGAATTGGATGTGCAAACTGAGGTTGTTAACCAGTGTTTGGAAACGTTGTTTTATGGCGGATCAACCTAAGTTATGGAAATAGTGGATGCATTTGGAAGAATTCTCGTTTAATACCACATTTCATGCATCTACTGGGAGAACTCGTTTATGGTAGGAAACCTCCAATAATCATGTGTTTACTACAAGAGGAAACAAGGGTGAAAGCAGTGCAGATTGAGTTATTGGATCATATGACGTTGCCTTGAGACTGCTTAAGTTTCATCTATAATGTGCTCAGGGAAGGATGAAACAGCATGCAGATGCAAGGCGTACGTACTGATCGTAACTTTGAGAGGGAAATTGGATTTTTCTCAAGTTGAGGCCACATCGTCAAAAATCAGTGGTTACTCGCATCAATGCGAAGCTTGCAGTCAGATATTATGGGACGTATCAAGTCATAGGGCGGGTGGGAGAGGTGGCATACAAGCTCAAGTTACTCAGAGGATCACATGTGCACCAAATCTTTCACTTGTCTTTGTTGAAAAAGGCAGTGGGGGAGTATCATGGAAAGGAGGAGCTGCCCAAAGATATGGAAGCGGAATGTGCTATGCTATTTAAACCAGAAAACGTATTGGCCGAATGAGTCATTGATAAAAGAGGTGAGGCTACAGAGCAAGTGTTGATACACTAGGCTGGAGAAGGAGAGGATGAGACTACTTGGGAAGATGATGTGATGATTCAGATCAAGTGCTGATACACTGGACTGGAGAAGGAGAGGATGAGGCTACTTGTGAAGATGTTGTGATGATTCAAAGTCAGTTTCCGAAATTCAACTTTGAAGACAAAGTTGCCAAGGGAGGGGGATAGGAGGTGTCTGGAGTAATGATCAACTTAGCATTATGAATGTAAAGCATTAGCTTTCCATAGGAGCTTTCTGTGGCAGTTGTGATTGAAATCCTTCTCTAAATCCATCATGCGATTTTATCAAATTCTGGTGCTGATTCTCTTATTTCACTGTGGGGGGTTTTTTGGTTTCTAACATATTTTTACTATTACTATACTCAAGGGTTTCTATCAGCCGTGATCACTTTCAACAAGATTTAAACGATAATACATCCTTGTGAATTCATTATTGACAACCAGATTCACAAGAAGATGCTGTACAGAATGAAATTTTAAGAAATTTTATCCTTATATCACTTCCAGAAATACATAGAATTTAGTAGAAATCGAGTGCAAATAGTAATACTTGAATTAGACATAGGTAAACAGATTAAATTCAAGTATTCGGTCTGTTTAAAGTATATGACAGGAGAACAAAAGAACCTAAAATACAAAATTGAAAATCATGATTTTCTTTGTTGAAAAAACACAAGATGGCACACAATAACACTCTAACTATCCTTGGCCTCCTCAGCAGCTGTCTCAAAAGTCTCTCCCGGGACAAGCTCCGGAACGTCGTCATCATTCTCTTCTTGAACTGTGGCTGAGCCAGCACCTGCTTCAGGAACCTGCTTATTGAACTGCTCAGCTATCTTCTTCAGATTTTCCAAATTATCCGGCCCTGTATTTCAATAATATTCAAAACATTTAAGATGGGAATGACAAGAAACAACAAAGACACCTTTGAAAATGTTGAAAGCACATACCTAATTGGTGGATAATGCTAGGAAGTATGTCCTGCAACTCTGCAGACGGGGAAATTAAATTTTAATTTCATATGACAGCAAATAATCAGCCAAACAACAAGCACCACACTATAGAAGTTCATCAATAAGTTGTGGGAATCAATGCCTTAGTGTACTCTAAAATAAAATGAAATAATCCAAATAATCCAAATAATCCAATGTGAACGGATAAAACTATGATAGACTAGAGTAAATATATGAAGAGGATGTATTATCTTACTCTTGGTTTGAGGAGCACCACTAACAACCCATGTATTAGCAGCAATGGATGCTTGAACTGGAAAAAAACAATCCAATTTAAAATTAATTGTAAGCGAAATCTGAAAGCAATATAAATAAACCTGTCATATTAAAAGTATTAATGCTGAAATATTGTGGACTGTTATTACCTTTGGGGTTTGAGAATTGGATGACAATGTCATCCTTAAAGATATTGACCTCCTCAATTTGAGGGATGGCATTCACCCCAATTCTCTTCAGGGTGCTCTGAAGCCTTTTGTCATCTGTAGTTGTTGTCTTGTGGACGGCCTTCTTCTTTCTACGGTAAAGAGAAGGCGGAACATCAAGAGACAAATCAACTTAACAAAAGCATTTTCGATTCACAACAAAACAGAAATATAAATGTTTAAACAAGAAAATGGAGAAAGAACTGATATTTATAAGATCTAATGCTCATTTCAACATATGGCTTGTGATTCCAATGACAACTGACAGATATTATTAACAGTAGAAATATGACAACCAAGTTATATTAGAAAAGACCAAAGTTATACCTTCTGACAGTACCCTTTCCACCAGTTCGAACTGAACCAGCCATCTTAATTAACTTTTCACGATTCATCTGAGTAAAAGGTACAAAAACTATTAGTAGCAAAACTCAATATGGAGTGAAAAGACCTACATAGAGTATGTTGTATAATTGAAATATACTGTACATGGTGGAAATTTGACAACACTGCAATACAGGATTGCATACAAAAACATAAATGTGGTCCTTGACAGACTCATAGTATTTTGCACAGTGTGAATTCAACTAAATCATATAAAAGAGCAACAACCCCAAGTTAAAGAAGCTAAATTAAGCTTACACATACATATTTCTCTAAATCCATATTCCAGAAAAGAAAACCCAAACATCTTATATCAAACAAACAATACCCGATACAAACCACATAGATAAACATAGAATCCAATCTGAAAGAAAAACAAAACTTCTCAACCACCCTTCAAGCTAATCAGTAAAGCAAATCTCAATATACAACTAAAAATGATTGATTTGGGAAAAATAGACCTAAAAAATGGAATTGAAATATAGGAGAAATTCGAAATCAACACAACATAGAAATTAGGTCAAATTCTGAAGGGTTGAAAAACCCGAAGACACCGAGAAACAACACAACAACGGATAACAGGATACAAGGAAAACAAAAATCAGTGAAATGAAATACTATAGCAGTAGTTAAAGCACCTTTGTGAAATCACTGATTTGGGAAACAGGGTAAACCTCACCGTGAAGAAGAAGAACGAAACAACGCAACGAGATAAGGATCCTTCTTATACCTATAAAACCCTAGTCCTTTTTTATTAATTTATTTATTATTTCATAATTTAAGATTTTATTTTTTTATTTTATTTATTTTATGGGACTAACTTATTTATTTATTTTCTAAAATTATGAATTTAAAAAACTAATATTTCAATAATAATTAATTAATTAAAATATTATATTAGTTTATTTATATTAAAAATAAAATAAAAAATGAAGAAAAAATTATTTCTAATAAATTTAATTCACAAGTTCTAAATAAAAAATATCCACTATCAATTAAGTTTTATTAAATAATTAATTTATTAAAATTAATTTTATTAATTAAAGTTGTTAAGTTTCTTAAGAAATTTTTTTAAGCTAAAGTTAAAATTAATTTAATAATTATTAATATTAATTTATTTATCTATTATTTATTTATTTATTATTAATTAAAATCAATCATTCTAATAATTTAAAATTTTATTTTTTATTTTATTTATTTTATGTAGATAACTTATTTATTTATTTTTTAAAATTGTGAATTTGAAAACTCATCATTTTAATAATAATTAATTAATTAAATTATAAAATCTTACATTAAAAATAATATAAAAAAGGTTAAAAAAATTGTTCCTAATAAACTTAACTCACGTGTTACAAATAAAAAATGCCTACTATCAATTATATTTTATCAAATAATTAATTTATTAAAATTAATCTAAGTAAATAAATATTATTCTTAATAAATTGCATATCTCCACTCTTAATTAAATGAAAATTATTTTTAATAAATTATATATCTCCACTACTAATTAAATGCACAAGTTTCAACTAAAAAACTTTTTTCCAACCTATAATAATGAATTAACTTATTAAAATTAACCCTAATAAAGAAATATTACTCCTAATAAATTGGATATGCTCCACTCCTAATAAAAAATTTATAGTTAATGTAGGTCATCAAATTCAATCCGCTCTTCAATATTTTTTTTCTTCTTCTAATATTTCTGCTTTTATAATATGCTTCTATTATCATAAGATCTTCTTCCCTATCATTTTTATATTTTAAATTATTTACTGTGTTGTTATTTTATTATACTAATTTTTTTCATTGTTGTTGCAATTGCAGACAATATATAAATTACAATGATATTTAAAAATATTTTTAGATGAATTTTATGGGTCTTCTTTCTTCCTTCTTATTTTCTCTATTTTTAATTATTTATGTTGTTTCAATGTTGTTGTGTTAATTTTTTTTTAATATTATTGTAATTTTAGACAATATCTAAATTACAATGGTACCTAAAAAGTATTCATAAATGATCTTTATAGTTCTTCTTTCTTCCTCCTCGTTTTATTTATTTTAAATTAATTATTTTATTACAATTTTATTATTTTTCTTAAATTGTTATTGTAATTGTATGTAATATCTAAAATACAAAGTATACAACAGTATCTAAAAATATTCATAAATGGAGTGTGAATCTCATTATCATTATTGTGATTTGGCTTATTTTTATTATTTTTCTTATTTATTTATTTATTTAATTATATTGTTGAAAAAGTTGGTGTGAGAGTGGTGAATTAAAAGAAATGTCTTCTATTGTATTTTATTTATTATTTATTTATTATGTTTTTTAAATAATCAATAAAATAAAATTAATTAGTATTAAAAATATTTCGGAATAAAATATAATATGTACTATAGAACTTCACTATACTAAAAAAAACACTCTATTAGTTATTAATTAGTGATAATGTAATTAAAAATAGTTATTAAATATTAATTTAAAGTATGGCTAAAATTAAGAAATTAATTTATATAATTGTATTAAATAAAAAATCTAAAAGATAAATAGGTTACATATTACATCCACTATTAATTAAAACCAACAAATAAAAATCAACCACTAACTATTAATGTAACCAACAATAATACATCAAAGAGAAATCTCCCACTAACATTAACCACGTATCTTAACTTTTTTTTATTAATTCAATCATTAATTAATAATAATAATAATAATAATTATTATTATTATTATTATTATTATTATTATTATTATTAGTTAATTAAATAAAAGGACTAAAAAATAGAATAAGCTATTTTTTTCTTATTATTGTTTAGGTAAAATACTCATTTTGGTCCTTTAACTATAGGTCATGGTTCAGTTTAGTCCCTTAACTTTTTTTCGTGTCAAATTTGTCCCTTAAGTTTCAAAACCTAACCATGTTAGTCCTTCCGTTAGTGAAACGTTAGTCAAATTCAAAAAACAGACTTCAGGTGACATTTGTCTTGCTGAAGTGGTTTGTTGGAGGCAAGATGGCAAAGAATAAGGAAAGACAATCTCTAAAAGTAGACGAAAGGATATGCATGTTCATTTTATCCAAGTCCAAAACCAAAACCAAAAAAAGGTAAAGAACGAGAATCTGCAAAGGCGGATTTGAAAGGGCTTGAGAAGGTGCTTGAGAAGGTGATTGCAAGGTGATTGCGAGGATGATTGTATTCCATGTAACTATTCTCATACTCGTTGGTAAATGGATTAGGGCTTTATATGCTGCAATTTAGAGATTATGAATGTTTGTTCTGGGATTTTGGGATTTAGGTATTCTATTATTGTTTGCTCTGGTATTTAGGGATTTAGGTATTCCATTCATTGTTTGTTTTGGGTCTTAGGGATTTAGGTATCTTATTCTTGTTTGTTCTATGTGTCTTCGTAACTGAATGTTTGTTATGGGATTTAGGTTTAATGGACGAATTTTTGAAACTAGTAATTCACCATAACGGTGAATTCGTTGATCCAAAACTTAGTGTCTATAAAGGAGACTTGGTATCTGATTTGTCAGTAGATGTTAATATGTGGAGTTACTTCGAGTTAGTTTGTGCATTGAAAGACTTAGGTTATACAGGCAATGTAGAGAAAATGTATTACAAAGACCCACAATTTGGGATAAATGAACTAGTTGATGACAAAGGTGCTCTAGAAATTGCAGACCTATATAGGGTGCACCATAGTGTTCATGTTTACATTTAACACAGTTTGTCTCAATCTGAGTATTGTGATGGTCTTATTGAGGAACCTGAGAACATTGTAGATGAGATGGAAGAGTTGCTTAGCAAGCTGCATGATGACATTGAAGAAGGTAATGTTGGATTGAATGATGATAATGTTATTGTGGAAGAATGTAATGTTAAATTAAATGATGATAATGTTGTTGTGGATGATGAATCCAATTCTGATGACAATGAGGATGGGAGTTACCAGTATGATAGTGCCCTAAAAGTAGCCTTTAACGATGAATCTGATGGTTATGAGGACATTGATGAAAATGAAATTGTAGACCTGACTGTGTAAGACAGTAATGAAATATCAAAGGAAAGGGACAACGAAAGTGCAACAAAGATACAAAGGAATATAAGGGGAAACACAATGACAGTGATGATCTTCAAAGTGGTTGTGACAGTGATAATAGTAGTGGGGTTAAAAGGAAGAAATACCCAATTTTCAAATAGAGAAAGGATGTGTCCAATTACAAATGGGAAGTAGGAATGTATTTTACTTCAAAGGATGACATTAAGGAAGCAATGGCCTCATATGTTGTTCAAAATGGAATAGTCCTCAAGACCATTGTGATACGGTGGGAGAACTGACTTGAGGGTTTTGCATTTGATTGCAAATGTTGTGGTTAGTAAGAGTCGCCGCCAACTTTTCTTTTATCCAAAAGGAAAGGTGAAAAAGCACAGGAAAAACCTTTGAGATTATTTCTTGAGTTCGGGGGTAGATTATGAAAAGGGAAGGTGTGATACGGTGGGAGAACTGACTTGAAGTTTTGCGTTTGTTTTCGCAAATGTTTCGGTTGAGCAAGAGTCGCCACCGACTTTTTATTTTATCCTAAGGAAAGGTTAAAAAGCACAGCAAAAACCTTTGAGATGTTTTCTTGGGTTCGGGGAGTAGATTATAGAAAGGGAAGGTATTAGCACCCTTTCTATCCATGGTTATCCATGGGCTCTTAGTTACTTGCTTAGATCAACTTGCCTTGATTTTCAATTGTTTGAAATGGTGCTTTGTGTGTTTTGAAAAATAGGCAAGTGTTTTTGTTTTGCAAGTTGGCAAGTAACCAAGAGTTGTTTACTCTTAAATTTACTCAAAGATCTTTGCTATGTTTTTAACCCTTTTAACAATTTTGTTCCACCATTGTATTTGGTGGACAATCTTGTGTTAGGATGTGAACGGGACGGGCGCGGGTCATCGTTTAGACCATGATTGCAATGGTGTCAAGTATCTTTGGGCAATTTTTCCTTTAAGGGACTTGATCATTTTTAGGCAACTTTCGAAAGCGTCATCGAGGGACTATGATCATTTGAATTGTTTTGTTTTTGTTTTGCCAAAGATACCTAACATGCAACATGGCCCATTATTGAAGGCAACAAGTGGAGTAATCCTAGAGGTGCAAGTGTGATTGGTGTTTGTTCATTTTCATGCTTTTATTTTAGAATTAGGTCAAACTATTTGTTTTGGTTGATTTTTGCATACAAACCCTAAGTCTATCATGGCATAATTAGAAAGCTTTTAAATGCGAAAAATAAAAGGTCCTAAGTTATTACAACACAATATATGGGATGGGGGGTACAAATGTTCAAATAGGGGTATTTTGACAAGAAAATAAATTCTAACTATTACATCCAAATTGAAATTCTACAAGGGATTTAATTGCACAAGTATTAAATAAAATAAAAATAAATATGCAAAAATGCAAAAATGGTTTTCATATGTATGTAAAAAAGTATTTATCATGTGTCAAATAAACAAAAATAAAATGAATTAATTTTTGATGTTTTTAGGTATTTAGGGCAAAACCCTAATTTTGCTAAATAAATGTATTAATTATTTAATATATGCAATATTTATCAATTATGTACAAAAATAAATAAAAGAAGGTATATTGTAAAAAAGGTATTTTTGAGGTAAAAATATTAATAAAAAAATGAAATGTATTAATTCTTTGTATTTTCCCTAAATACATTAATAAATATATAAGTATTTACATTATTTATAAAATATATATATTATGTATAAAAAAATATTTAATATTTACAAAAAAATATATTTTTATAAAAATGTTTTCATGAGATAATATAAAATAAAAATCAGAAACAAAATATGTTTGTATTATTTTTTGTATTTTAAAAATAAAAGTATCTATATTTATTTATTTACATATATCAAGTTAGAACAAATAAATGTCTAAAAATGCAAAAAAAAGGTGAAAAAATAATTTTAATATTTTTTATGCTTTGTCAAAAATAAACAAGTCAGAAACAAAAATCAAAAGTCAAAAATAATGAAAATAAAATGCAATGGGCCAAGGAGGTACAAATGTGAGATCATGGTGTAAAAAATAAAAATATCACAGGCCCAGCCCATGAAAGGTTGTCTTCAACCTCTGAACAACAAAACAGAGTAACACGTGATCCCTGCTATCTCCTAATTCCTGGACTTTTAGCACAAACTTATAACATGAAAGATGTTAAGCATCAAGCCACGATTCCATACATATAAAAAACTCAACTTAACTCTCAGAAATGAGAGAGAATTTCTCCATCCCTAATTCTTAACCTAAGTTTTTGTCAACGTTCAGATTGAAAATACTCTCAGCATATGCAATATAAATGGAAAATGAAGATATGTATAGCTTCAGGGCCATGAGTAGAACATTTTTCATTCATAAACCTAGAGCTAACTCTTCCTATATTGAGAGATAGAAATCCATGAACTTACCTGTTCAGCTTGGATCGTGTCTGGCAATGGAGGCACTTTCAAGGCAAGGTGAGGATTGGTACAACTTGCTTGAAGTTCAGGGATGCTATTCCAACCTTTAACTTGCTTTGAAACCAACTGAATCAAGCTATGGCAATCAACCTGCAAAACAGAAAAAATGAAAATGGTGAAGTTGGTTAGAGGTGTTATAGGTCGTGTCCAATGCTTGGGATAGCTTGTATATGTGGTATGGAATGTATATGAACAGGTCTTAGCAAGAATGCACGAGTGGACTGAGTTATGGAAGTCCAACTGCAGAGGTGACTCTGTTTTCTGCAGTAGGAGGGTGTTTTGAGGTTTGATGATGTTTGGAGGGTGTTTTGCTCGTGCCTTAGCTCTGTTATATTATTTGGAAGGTGTACAACAACTTTGCTTAAGCTTGTGTTGGCTGAAATGAGAGTTGGTGTAAGTTATGTCAAGTTACTTCTAACTTAAGCAAGAAATGGCAAGTTGGTTCTCTAGACTTGTACAGGCCCCTCAAGTATGTTGCACACTTGAGCCTTGATCAGTGTGATATCTCCATGAATCTTGTGTCCAAAGATATGCATTGTACCACTTGGATTGCAAATTTGACATAAAGTGCACCTTTACCAAAATGTATATATTGCTTTTTCTAATTATGGCTCAATCTTGTATGCAATGCTTAAACACACAAGATAAGACTTAAACATGAAGGATTGGCATTCAATTTATGAGTGTGAATGAGATAAAGGACCTGTAATCTAGCTTAGAGCATGCTGAGTTCAAAAATGCAAAGTTATGGACATGTAAATTGGCCATAAACAAAGTGAGTTTTGCCCATATTGCCAAATTCGATTCTCCCTAACCATAAGGTTGTTTGATGAGTTCTTGGACATTTTGGAAAGCTTGGAATATGTACTACAATCCATCTTTGTAATGAAAATCGAAATTACAAGTGGAAGCATGTGAAAAGTAGCCATGAAGTTAGGCAAAAATCCTGCCTAAAATAGGTCCAAAATTTTCTAAGTTAAGAATGTTTTGCACCCTTGTTCCAAAAATCATAACTTGAGCTACATGCTTCTTTTGAGGAAACTTTGTGAATCAAAGTTGTAGATTTTTCAATAGACTACAACTTTCATGTTTTGACTTTTCCTTGAATCCAAATGCATCTTGATGAAAAAGTGGGACAAAGTTAGGAAAAAATTAGGGATTTTCATAACTTAGAAAAATTCGAAGTTATGAAAATTCTTCATTTTAAACCCTAATTTGCAATTTTGGGTTTCTTGATGAACAAGTTTCATATTTTGAAATGTTTTGATGAAAAATGAATCTTGACACTTGATTTTGACCAAAAAGTCAAAGTTTGACTTTTCAGTATACAGTCAAAAATTGATCAATTGACTGGAAAATTCATCTGTCAATCTTGTGCATTTGGGATCTTTTGAACTTGTTGAACATGTCAAGATAATTCCATGGGATCCTTGAGTCCATATGTGAGTTTGGTTTGCCATTGGCTAGGTCAAACTGTCAAAAATTGCCTTTGTGCAGTCAAAACCCTAAAAATGACCATTTTGCCCTTTTGGTGATCTGATCAAATTTCTTGTGGAATTGTGATCCAAACTTGACCAAATGGTTCATATGAGTTCATAATGTTGATGTGGGTCAAAAATCATGAGGTTTGACTGTCAATTGACCACAATTGACTTTTTCCCCAATACAGCTGATTTCTAGGTCAACTGTCCAATT